TGTTAACATTTTGACATATTTGTTTATAGTTTCCTTTCAGAGATAAATACTATCTAAGTGTGCTGTCTTTTTTAATAGCAATATTAAAGAACTTTAGCTTCTTTCTTTTTTTTTTAAGATTTTTATTTATTTATTTGACAGAGAGAGACACAGTGAGAGAGGGAACAGAAGCAGGGGGAGTTGGAGAGGGAGAAGCAGGCTTCCCCACAGAGCAGGGAGCCCGATGTGGGGCTCGATCCCAGGACCCTGGGATCACGACCTGAGCCGAAGGCAGACGCTTAACGACTGAGCCACCCAGGAGCCCCATGAACTGTATATTCTTTTACTTTGCTTATGGAAGGGGGTGACTCATTGGTTTTCTTTCACATTATTTCCTAATTTAATGCAACCTTGTAAAATAGGTATATTATCCCCATTTAGTAAAGAAATAGAGGCCCAAAGTTAAAATGCTATTTGTATACTGAGAATCCCAGTTTGTCTAACTTCAACCTGAGCACTTTCTACAGCCTTATTGCCCAGATTAAAGTGAAAAAAGGAAGAAGGAGCACTTTCTCAATTGTTACCTGAAGCACAACAAATTCTTTCTAGGTATAGGTGGAACTGTCCCTAGGTGTTAAATTACCTCCCTTCTTCCTGGGGGAATGACCTCTGGACTTTCACTTGCTCATTGGGTCTCCAATTCTATTTATTTTATGTAAACAAAAGATGAAGAATACAAAGTTTAAAAGGAAGACTTGGAAGTATTCAAATGATGCCTGGAAATTGGGTACAAATTACTAAATATGTTAGAGAACATGGCCAAGTTTGTTTGCAAGCTCTTGATTAACGTGTTCCCAGGTATGGTCATGCAATATCAGAGCATAAGAGTCTTTGAGGGTCTTGTGAAAAATGCACTTCCAGGCTCTACCACATGCCACATACAGAATCCTCATCTCTGTGCACAAAGTATCCACAAGTTCCCAAAAGCTCTCCCGGTGACTCCGACTAAAGTTGATGAACTGCACTGCCATTCAAGGTGTGACCCACAGACCAGCAATTGTACCACCTGGTGCTCATTAGACATACAGAATCTCAAGTTGGTCCCTAGACTGGTGGCCCAGAATCTGCGTTTTAACATGATCTTTAGGAGAATTTATGTGTACATTAAAGTTTGAGAAGCACTGCCCCTAGAATGAAAAAGGATAAAGAGTATTAGGCATAGACTTTTTTTATTGGGGTAAAATGAGCATACAGTCAACTGTACATATTTAAACTGTACAACTGGATAACTTTGCCATATGTTTTTTTCCATGAAATTTTCAGTCAAGAGAATGAACATACCCATCATCGCCCATCATGTCCCTTTATAATCTCTCTTTCCTGCCTCTCTCTCAAACCCTTCCATCCCCAGGTCACCATGTATTAGGTGTCATTATAGATTAGTTTGCATTTTTGAGTTTTTATATATATTGATTGTGTCTGGCTTCTCTCACTCAGTATGATCATTTAGAGATTCATATGTATTATGCATGTATTAATAGTTCATTCCTTTTTACTGCTGAATAGTATCTCATCATTTGGCTATATCAAATTTTTTTATCCATTTTTCTACTGATAGACATTTGGGGTTGTTTTAGTTCTTGGCTATTAAAAATAAAGGTGCTATGAACATTTGTGTATAAGTTTTTGTATGAACATATGATTACATTTCTCTTGGGTAAATACCTGAGTAGAATGGCTGGGTCATACAGTATGCTTAACCTAAGTGCCAAGTTACCTAAATGACTTTGGAAATGAGTGGAGTCTACAAGACTAAAGCAAAAGAAACTGCACATAAGCACTGTATTCTAGTGGATAAAGTTGTTTCCTTGTGTTAATAATTCTGATACTACTGCACATGTATTCTGGAATTAAACAATTAAGTAAATGGACAATGGGTGATAAGAACCAGGTTTCTTGCTGTTGAAGTGAGAATTTACGGATAAGCAAGGGAAGGTGGCCAGAATGATCCTGGTGCTAACGGACTAAAATTGAAGACATAAGTATAAACTCATGTTTAGTTTAACACAGATACAGATGGTTACATACAGAAATATTTATTGATATGCATATATACGCAGGTAAGAATATACACATATATTTTCTTGCTCTGTCAGCTGAGAGGGCCTAGAACAGTGAGTACTCATAGAGTCCAAATTTTGATTTCTAAAACCCTTCTCCAATAAGAGGAACCAGGAGCTCCTTGGAGAAATGGCTACTCCCAGGACTGGGTAGGAAATGTAAAAATGTAGCTGGAGTATCTTTTAGTCACACAGAGCAAGGGAGTACTCAAAAACAACCCACCATAATGATGGGGCATATAAAAGGCACAAAGAAGCAAACTGGAAAAATTTCCAATAGCCATATTTTAGAGATACATACATACTGAAATATTGACAGAAGAAATGATATGATATCTGGAATTTGCTGCCAAATAACCTAAGGTAAGGGATGGATAGGGGTATAGTTGAAACAAGGTTTGTCATAAATTAATCGTTTTTGAAGCTGGG